CTAAAATCGTAATCAACTACTTGTCCCTGTAAAACTGTGGGAAGTTTCTCAGAGTCTTATAATGTATGCTGAGTCCCTATATTATATTTTAATACTAAGTAACACTAATGCTTGCGTTTTTTTGGCTATGCTCATTTAATTGTCCATGTCTTACAACTGAGAGTGCTGTTTAGTAATTCATGAGGATTTTTAACAATTTTGCCTGTTCATAATTAGAAATATGTAGGAACAGATCATTTTACATCTTTGTAGTCTGTTCACTCTAAAGGGTTTTGAACCAGGCCATTTTTGTAAACATCATTGGAAAAGTCATGAAGCAAAAAAAAAAAAAAAAAGGAAAAGAACTCCAAAATGAGCACCAGTTAAAGGAAAGGTAAACAAATTGGCAGTTGCCACTAAAGGCAAAAGCTCCAGCCACCCAAAAGAGGCCTAATAAAAATAAATCTGCTAAGGGGATGGTATCAGCTGTTATAAATGTGGTCAATCTAGGCACCTGAAACACAATTGTTCTTAATAGCCTAAGCCCCCAGAACTTTGTCCAGTATCTGGACTAAAAAGCCATTTAAAGAGATGGTGAGTCCTCTCCCGAAGGGGGAGGAGCACTGCCCAGCACAACACTCTGTATGCCATCCACCCAAAGAATCCTTGGGTCTATATAAATGTGGCTGGATCCAAATTAATTTCTTAATTAATACTGAAGTTAAGTTTTTAGCCCTTGTGCTCATACTGAACTTCTTCCTCCTAAAACCTGCTCTCCAGTGGAATTAAAGGTGTTCTAAAAACTGAATGTTTCACCTGTTACTAAAAGGTGAATTCAAATTATGACTGTAAAAGGTTATCTATAAATAAATAAAAAGAAAAGCAAAAAGCAAAGGAAAAATGTAAAAAGGTTGTTGGTATACAAATAAAGTTTTAGCAGGGAAAAAAAAAAGGAGAAAGTTTAAAATATATATACACATACAAAGGAAATTCTATAAACAATCTAGGCATAATAAAGTCTTTTCTGAATGCAAGTCTCCAAACATTTTCGGATTTCTCTTCAAATTTTATATAGAATTTATTTAAGTGCCTAGTTCAAATTATAGTCTAAAACAATCTGTCAGGCTACCATTACAGTCCAGAAATACAAAAGCTGGTACTTGTAAAAAAGCTACAGAAATTAAAGTTTATCATTTAAGTTATGCTAATAACTTCAGACCTTGTAGCTTTTGTATAAAAAGGTAATCAGCTACTGCCTGCAACTGTCAAAATGTAGGCCTGACTTTATTTCTTTTATTGAGCAAGAATCCAGTAATTTCATGCCCACATAATGGTCATGCAAAAATTCCAGCCAGTGCCTGCAAATAATGCCACTGCTAAACGCCTTAAGTCAGACAGGGAGAGATTTTCAATCTCTGGCTAGGCAGGACTGCGCCCATTATCAGCTCTGAAGAAATTACAGAAGATGGACCTTCACCCCTCAATACCCCAAATGATTATGGGATCGAAAAATCTCTAAAAAAATAAATAATTGAGGCAGGGTAGCTAGCACAGGTTAAACATAAGTAAATTTCCTATAGGTAGGTTTTGAAAGGGGTTCAAACGTTTCTACTGCAGACCGAGTGGCAACCTGTCCCACTCCTTGGCAAATCCAGAGAAAATTCCATCAAATTTAAGACTAGGACAGTATAGTTTCAATTTGCGGGTCAACATAATAATCACCAGAAATCCTTTGGAGACATAAGTAAACTAAACATAGGTATTTGGTATTTCATCACTCAGAATCCAAGTCCGTGAAATGGAATTTGTTAAACCTTTAAAATTGTTTAATGGTAGGTCTCTTGTTAAGGGCATACAGGGAGGCTTAAAAGAATTAAAAAGTCTTACCCTAAAACAGCAAATGCAGGCCTTAGGTTCAGTCCTAAAAGCCATCCATTGTCAAGTCAGAGAACGATTGCCAATTAGTTAAACTACCGATGCTCATTCTTTTAAGCCAGGTGATATGGTATGGGTAAAAGAGTAAAATGTATAATCTCTAAAGTCCCTCTGAAGGGGGCCATTTACTATTCTTTTACATAACAGAACTAAACTGGCCTTCCAGGACTGGGAGTGCAACGGGTGACCATTTGGAAAGTCACGAAACCCAACGAAGAACGTGGAACTAATTTATCCAGCCCTGCTCCAAAAGCGTAAGGATACTTCAGGCCCTGCTTTAATCACACTCTGGAAGCTGATTGATCCACGCACAGTGGAAGATTAAGGGTTCGGCTTAAGGACTCAGTGGACATTACTGATAAGCCTTTGTTTTGCTTTGTTAACCTTTATACTTGCTGAACCATTTGTAACTTTATTTGTTGTAAAATTAACAGTTGTCCCCATTGATCATGTTAGAAAAGGGTTTCACTAGCATTTCCGTCCTTTCTTACGATAGGAAGTTTACTTGTGCTTTTATGCATTTCTACCTAATCTGGGTATCTACCACTTCCCCCCCATACTCATCATGTAAATGTATAGAAACTATCTGGCCACGCTTAAAGGTTTTCCATCGTTATTCATCCCAGCCAGAAGTATGTTATACTGATAAACATATCTGCACCCATAATGGCCAGCTATACTTTCCTAGATTATCAAAACAAAACTACCAGTACACTAAAGCTGGTGTCATAGCTTGTAACACCCCCGGAAGCACAAATTGGGTTTGTTGGGATTTTGCTTCCTCACCCAAAGCTTAAAAAGCTAATTAAAGAAACTGCAATTAGTAGTTCCTCCGACTGCCCAACAGTCAAAACTAACCTCCTTCCCTCAATCGTGGAAAGTAGGGCAAAATCTGTTTATAAATTTGGCTGAAAATATAGCTCGGACACTAGGTATCACCAATTGTTGGGTATGTAGAGGGGTACTAATAACTAAAAAGTGGCCTTGTAAGGGAACCGGTCACTGCAATAACCCTGTCAGTGTTGCTAGGACTACGCCTTGCTGGGGCAGGGACAGATATCGCCTCCCTAGCCACTCAATCCCATCATTACAGTAGCCTTCGGGCTGCAATAGAGTCTAACAAAAAAAAAATAGGCTCTTGGTGGTCTCTCGGATTGAACTTTCGGCCACTACAATATATATTTAGGAATTTCAAATTAAAAGCAGATGAGATAACTAGAAGAGTTACAGCTGAGGCGGGTGGGTAGGAAAAGTTTGGGTCATTTCTTATCATAAACCTTTCAGTATTTCACACTTACAGGAATCCCTAACCTCTCTGTCTGAAGTAGTTCTGCAAAATAGTAGAGGCTTAAACCTACTGTTCCTCCAGCAAGGTGGCCTCTGCGCCACCCTGGGAGAAGAATGTTGTTTCTACACCGACCATTCAGAAATAGTAAAGGAATCCATAGCTAAAGTGCGAGAAGGTTTGGCTAAGCATAAATTAGAG